ATTTATAGTTTGCAACGTTGTTCCGCTTTTTTCGCTCGGGATTTAAGGTTTTACTTGTCGTTTGTTTCTCCATATTACTTTTTTAGATCAGGTTTGCCGTTAACAATCGAGTTTTCGTTACTGATACATATAATCAAAATTACTTTTTATCTAGAATTAAGCAAGAAATGAAAGTAACAATGCCCCTACCCGTTACAGAAAAATTTTTCGTTACAGTTTATGTTACGTCGTACAGGGGCGCCGTCTATTGAATTGGTTATTAACTTAAGCTTCTGGTCATTAAACTGTAGTGATTTGTATATTTAATCATTATTTCTGACTTTGTGTCTTAGTCGTCTTCATTGTGATTGCATTAACATGTATCCTATGGGCGTTCGCTCTTTTGATTGGATCTGCCAAAGATTACCTGTAGGCCATTTTTCCTGGTTTTGTCCACAGGTAACTCTTTTGTATGACTCGTGTGTAAACTAAAGTCAAGGAAATAGAGAAAGAAAGACAGAAAGAAAAGAAATTTTAAACAAATAAATGAATAATCTACTATGAATTTGAACATGAACCTTTAATTCCGTATAAACGTACTCTGAGGCTCAGTATAAATATCTGTTTCGGTTTGCCTTCTCAGAGGATTTAAGTCTTTTCAAATAATTGTCTTTGCATTATTTTCTCTTGAATAACATTTGGATATGTCGTTTTATTTGAAATGCTGTTTCACCCTTTTAATCCTCTGATCACTTTTTCTATTGCATATGTTTTTAGATTACTATTTTCGTCAGAATACTGGATGAACTTGACAAGGGATATAAACAAATACACGGAAATGTAGAGCCGAATAACAATATACACATGAATAATGGTGGGAAACACTATTTGTTGCTTTAATAAAGAAATGATGAAGCAATTCGAAATTATTCATTGCCATCTCTTGATTGATTGATTATTTGAATCATGATAGAAAAACTAAAAGCTAATTTATATTTGATGAATATTTAATCGTTCATTATTTCATGAAGAAGAAATAACAAATAGGAAACAAAAGAAATAGGATAGTTGAATGTTCCACATGAAAATATGAGTAGCTAAAGGTGTGTGGACATATTTTGTAGAACTTTCGAAGATATCTCCGTGGCAAGAATTAAGCTTTACTATTAGAAGTTATACCGGAAAAACTATAAATGATTACTCCAAAAGAGACTTTTATCTACTTTTTGGATGATCATATTTTTTATTCAAATATGGTCTGTATGATATGACTAATGTCAGGTCATAGAAAGTATTTCAAAGCAGACTATGTTAACGATTCATCTTTCTCAATTCAAACAAACTTAGAATGGATCATATAGATAAGAAAATTGCCTACTCAAATCATGTGCATCTACAACATAGATAAAGATATAGTAATTTCGTAAATTTTTTGTTTCAGAAATTTTGGCATGCATTCAGTTGTTTTGCAAGTTATGAGCAGCACGATTGTCCTTTTTTTATTTGACTTTTTCTCTGCATGATAATGAATTGTTCTTTTTTCCATATAAACTATAAATAATATACAATCTTATGAACAAGAATTTAGGTTGATCTTTGAAAAATCCAAGATAGAGTTTGTGTCTCGTTTCACAATTCTTTAAAATCCCATCTTACTTGCTTCTTTCGTTTTTCTTATAATGGCATATTTTTGGCTTAATAGCCAATATTGTCAGTGATTTTGTGAGTGCTTAACATTTATTCCTTCTGTCTTTTGATTGTCTATTTATTAGGGAAATATACTGTTTTGATATTTTGGAAAGAGTATGAACGTACTGCTTCTTTTTTATTGTAATGTGCTTGAGTTGTAGAAAAAACAAACGTCTGTGAATTGAACTTTGTTTTCATTATTCTAGAATTGAGAAGAACCATGCAAATGACGTTGTCAACCAGGAACATGTTACTATGGGATTCTTTTGAGATTAGTAGACATCTTTCTAACTATGTTTAAGTACATTTTACAATATAGGCTTTTTATTTAACATTAAACTAGATAACTCGGAGCAATAGGGAAGATGTGTATGTCCCTGATTATATTTTGTCTTGACCTCTTACATTCCAACTAACCTCAGTGCCAAACCTTGTCTATTTTCTAGAACATTTATTTCTCTTACGAGCTTCTCTATTTATTATTAGACTTTTCGATAACCAAGAAAGCTCATTAAAAAAATGTCGTCATCTCGTTCTGCATCGTCTAGTTCGTCATCATCTAAGTCTGAAAAAGAAAACCAAGAGGAAACAATCGCATCCGATTTAGTTGTGACCAAATATAAAATGGCATCAGAAATAACAAATCGTGTATTGAAAGAAGTTTTGGATCGTTGTGTTGTTGGTGCATCAGTCAAAGACACATGTATCTTTGGTGATAAACGTTTAGATGAAGAAACTGGAAAAGTATTCAAAAAAGATAAAGATGTCAAAAAAGGAATTGCATTTCCAACTTGTTTAAGCGTTAATAACTATATATGTCATTTCAGGTCAGTGACTCTACGTCATCAATTATTATAACTTTCTTATTTATATTATTTTTGTTTGTGTATTAGTCCATTGATTAGTGATCCGGATATCATATTGAAAGATGAAGATTTAGTTAAAGTTGATTTGGGTTGTCATATTGATGGATTTGTAGCTGTTGTTGCACATACAATAGTAGTCGGTGCTTCAAAAGAGAAGAAAGTTAAAGGAAAAAAAGCTGATTGTATTTTGGCTTGCTATTATGCAGCAGAAGCAGCCTTACGTTTAATAAAACCAAATGAATCCAATTATGCTGTCACAGAAATGATTGATAAAATTGCCAATGCTTATCACTGTCGACCTGTTGAAGGTAAGTTTTCTAATTTATGACCTTAAAAAGCACAGAGAATTCAATTTCATTTATGTATGAGAATGGTCATGAAATAATGAGTCGATGATAATATATAATATTGATTGCCTGATATTTTCTAATGAGAGCGTCATTATGTATTACCTCAGACTGAGACTCATTTATATTGCGATTGTTCTACAGTTTTTCAATCTCATGACTCAAATAGGTTTTTTGTTTATCTGTTAGGTATGATATCTTACCAGATGACACGGGGGATTATTGATGGTGAAAAACGTATATATCAAAATCCTACGGAATCCCAACGTCGTGATACATATGAAAAACATGAATTTGCTCTGCATGAAGTATATGCTGTTGATGTATTGATATCATCAGGTGATGGTAAACCACGTGAATCTGATTTACGTACTACTGTTTATAAGAAAAAAGATTTAATTTATCAATTACGGATGAAATCATCACGAGTATTTTTATCGGAAGTTGAAAAACGTTTTTCATTAATGCCATTTACATTAAGACATTTTGAAGATGAAAAACGAGCACGTATGGGAGTTATTGAATGTGCAAAACATGAGTTAGTAGAACCATATCCTGTTTATCATGAAAAAGATGGTGAATTCGTAGCAGAATTCAAATTTACATTATTATTAATGCCAAATGGACAATTAAAAATAACCGGATTTCCATTAGGTGAGCAAAAAAAAGATTTTGAATAGAATCGTTATTCGTTTATCGTTAGCTTAGCCCAAAACTGAGGCACTTCGAAGATTAAATGATACTGTTAAACATTTTCACATATAAGTTAGGCCCTTAATTCGAAAAGCTTTTTCTAAACATTAGTTTTCGTTTAGTCATAGCGCATTATCTCTATCTTTTATCATATCATTATCATGCCTAAAATGATGCAATATTTTTCTCTCCATGTATAGATCCTGATCACTATGAATCAGAATATAAAATTCAAGATCAAGATATCAAACAATTGTTGACAAGCACAGTGAAACGTCAACAAAAAAAGAAGAAAAAAAATAAAAAACAAGGTGGAGCTGCTTCAACAACCGAAGCTAGCGCTTCCGCAGGAGGGCATTCCGATGGAAATGACGAAGAAGATGGTGTCGCTGTGGAACCAAAAGACACTAAATCAACTAAAAAAGTGTCAACAGCCACGACAATAGCAAAATGAAGTAAACAAAAAACTATTCACGATTATTTCTGGCAATAACAACTACCACCACTAAATACAAAAAATATATTTTACATTTTTTTTTCTAACACATTTGGAATGTGTATTACTATTTGTTTATGTTGTCATTTCTTAAGTGGCAAGACAATGTTTTCTTTGTTCGTCTCTTCTTCTTTTTTCTAAATGTTTTTTTTTCTGATTTCTTTTTCATTGGAGAAAAAGAACGTTTTGGAGCGTTTTCATATCTACGAAAAGAAATAGATCCGGTAATACTATTGATCAATTTTACTGGGAAAGAGGAGAGAGGAAAAAAGGTTTATCATTATTGCCAATTAACGATTGAATCAATAAAAAAAACATAGGATAACATATTTTTGTTTCTTTACAATGTTCAAAATAATCTAGTAGAATGTTTCAGACAGCGACGAAATTTTATATTAAATAACAGTAACTTTTCATATTTACGGAAACATCATTTTTGACTGAAGAAGGAGCGTTGTTGATATAAGCTTTATTCTGTCAGAATACAAGCGGAAGAATATTCCATTATAGTATTCTAAACTAAAACTATCGAAAAACACAAAATCAATTTTTGTACGAATAGAGATTCGAACATGTGAACTT